GTCTCCCCCTTCATCAATAAATGTTTCTTGGGTACAATTGTCCAGGTTGGGACAACCAGTTGTGGGGCATTGCGTAGTACCACCATTGCGGATTGGGTAACATTTTAAATTATTTTMCTTATCTACCTTGCGAGTTAGTTTATCTGATCTCACTAGGTGTCAAGCTAACACTTGTTTTTTATTATGTTGGTTTTCAGGTCTCATTAGTGGCGGATCTAAGAGTGCCTAGGAGTAGGGGTTCTCAAAAATCCGACCAACCCGATCAACCCAACCCAACCCAACCCAACCCAACCCAATGTTAAATAACCCAATCCGAAGCAAACTGATGTCTAATCGAGTTGTAAATTGTTAAACCGTAGGTATTGAGTTGATATTGGGTTACTATTATTTGAACCCAACCCAACCCGATGAATCCGATATCCTTTTATTTATTGGATTTAATATGATTGTTGAATTTCTATTAGTATATACATTAGACAATTACACTATCATGTATGTTTTTCATATACACATATTTTCAATCTATTCATATCTCTATATAACTCATTCATATATATGTTCAGTAACTGTGAACATATATATGTAAATTGAGAAAATTAACTGATTGTGATATTTGTAAGAAATATGGATAAGTTGTATCAAATGGTTGATGATCAAAAAAAAATTAGAGTAGAGAAATAACATATTCAAGGTTAGAAGAATATTTTAATATACCAAAGTATTAACCCGACCAACTCGTACGGGTTGGGTTGCACTTTGGTTTGGGTTGGGTTGAGTTAAGATTTTTCCAAACCGCAAGCATTGGGTTAAGTTGTTCAAATGTCTTCAACCCGATCAACCCAACCCATGAGCACCCCTACCTAGGAGACTTGGTTGGTACTACTAGGAGCATCAAGGGCAGAGAGTTTTGGAAAACACTTGAATGGAGATTGAATTTTTGGAAGATATAATAACACCCGACTGTAATCTAGTTCTTTTATTAGATTATTAGGTTGTTATTTATGTCTCAATTATCAATTATTGTCCTATTTGGCAAACTTTCCCCTCATGGATTCAAGCAATTTCTTTTTTATGGAATTTTAGTTGTATGCAACGTATTTTCTCGTTTTAAATTTTAGGGTGTTTCAAGCGCGAAGCAAACAGTTCCACGCCAGAGTGAGTAGTTGGACCAATCTAGGCGAACAAACAATGCCGCAAAACTAGAGAGTGGCAGAGGCACCACTAGCAGCTGTGAAAAAGATCTGAGTTGCAAAAATGTTGGGTGTTTTGGCCATCGAAAGACATGGTTGTGGACCGAAGGTCGCTCTCATACCATATAAATAAATATGAAGTTTGTGAAAAAGGTTATCTTTTACCTCTCATTCACAGAGGATATATACACGAGGCTGAAAGCTAATTACATAAACTATGAAATACAATTAAGGATCGCTGATCAATCATATCCTAAAATAGAAGATTACGATAATATCTCAATAGTAAAAAACAAAGATGCACATGCATATAATAAATACTCAAAATGCACATGCCCTATAATTTACACCTTGGTTCGACAATTGTCGTGTTGGTTGAAGCGACGATTTTCTTGACTGTGGTCACATATGTGGTCAAAACAGATGGTTTTGATCGATGGGTGCAAGTAGGGACCTACACAAAAGGCAAGATCGTTTTTCTGCCTTCACGAAATGGTTTGTGATTCACACAAGGGTTCACAAAACAGCGGGCCATTTTATACTAAATTTGAAGAAGTGGACTAGTTTGTGCAATCATCTATGGCCATTTTTGCGACTCACTGTACAATCGCAAGTTGAATAAAAATCACCTTCTGTATTTCCCTCCGTGTATAAAAATAGGAGGCCAGTAGTCCAATACGTAACTGTAAGGGTGGTTATAAAAATGTAAAATATGCATATTTAAATTAAATGATAATTGGAGAAAGAAAAAAAAGAGCGAGTTACATTTTTTTGTCCCTGTTCTTTGGTGTTTTCTGTAATAGGATCTCATACTTATTTTGAAAAATACACGAAATATGTCGTCGTGGACTTGTGGTTGTTTTTTTAACGAGCTAGGTCCTTCTGGTTACATTTTTTAGCAATCAGGGTCCTTACGGTTGCAATTTGTAACAAGTTGGGTCCCTGGATAAATTAACAAGTTGTGTCTTTGTGATTGTATTAGAAAGGGACCTAGCTTGTTAAAAATGCAACCACATAAACTCAACTTGTTAGTTTTTTAAATTGGAACATCATTTGTTAAAAATACCAAACCAGAGGGACTAAAAATGTAATTCACTCGAAAAGTGAGAGTAGGAACTAGGAAGGGTAACGAGAGAACTTTTTTCCCTCCAAGTCAACCCTGCTCCGTTTCCATCTTTCCATCGGAGATCAAACAAATTTTTGATCTGGTGGTCCGATTGACAAGAAAACGTCGTTCGATCGAGCAAAATTTTCACAGGTGCGTTCTTAACTCGTAGGTATTTGATCTGAACGGTGATGATCGGATTCGGAGGAAGTTATATATACATTTTGGCTTGTGCTTTTGACTTTTTACGTCGAATGTACTTTTCCAATATATAACATCGTATTGCTTGTTATACGAGTCTTAACTCCCAGCATCAGTCTAACTATTTACACCATCAATTCCAAAATGTTGGTCCTCTTAAGGTATTGGCCCATGAATTTAGGAAGGGAAGTGTTAATCTATAATCACCATAATCGTTTTGTTCCATTTTTGCCCTATGAGAAAGATAGATTAGGGGTGCTTAACAGTACTAAAACAAGGGAATATCTTGTTGTGAGGATAATTTTCTTTGGGATGGAGATATTACTTTCTAGCGTCAAATATGATATGGGTTCTGTCAACAATTTCTATTTCTATTCCTAGTGCTATATGTTGTAATGTTTGATGAACACATAGTCAAAGAAAAATGTGTAATTAGTCAAATATTTAAATTACCCATCAATGTGATGAAATTGGGAAACCTTTAATGCAACTTTTGACTAGACACATAGGTTAACAGAAGTGTAACCATTAGTCAATATCTTTACATATCAATCAATGATGATGTGGTACAGGACATAATTGGGTGAGGGTTCAAAGAAGGTACACCATAGCCGGTAGCCATTTTTCTTTTCTTGCATATATGTCTATTTGCTTTTAATGCTTTTATGATTAGAAGCTGTGTATCCCTATTAACTTCTATGATATCAGAATTGAACATGGATGATCATTTTGTGAAGAAACAATGGATGAATAGTAGACTTAGTTGAGGGTTTTGCAGTAGTTGATGATAAGACATGATCAAAGATGCTATAGGATTTTGACAACATGTAAACTGTAGTTGATGAATCAATAGTTCATGAACTGAACCAAAAAGAAATATATTTAGGAAGCTATGAGATTATGATGTAAACTAACCCATTATTAACAACTAACTAAAGAGGAAAAAATGCAGAAATATATGTATAATGCACATAATAGATTTTCTGGCTTTAATTTTTAGAAAATCTTGTAAAACCACATCCTTGTCACCTTCTTGCCTTGTATAGAGTTTTTCAGTTATTTTGTTGTTGCATGATTAATGATTATCTTCAATAATAATGTATTGCAGGGACTGCAGATTCCTTCACCCAACAAAGAAATAGGTGGTGAAGTCAAAAGAAATACAAGGGTTAGAAGATTTATGATCACATCGCACTCATAGTGCTGGCAGCCACACGGTTCAAGCTTTTACTTAATGTGGATAAGGTCCTATACAAAAGGAACCCTGAGTCGGGTACACATACACGGATAAAATGGCATCGGAATCATCATCATCATCATCTAGTATGCAGCTGGCGTGGAAGTATGATGTTTTTTTGAGTTTCAGAGGAGAAGATGTCCGCATGAACTTTGTTGATCATCTCTCCACTGCCATGTTCAGTAAAGGGTTTGACATTTTCAAGGACGATGTCGCACTTAAACGAGGCGAATATATCACCCCAACACTATTGGCAGCCATTGAAAATTCAAGGGTTACGGTTGTCGTTCTCTCGAAGAGATATGCAGATTCCTCTTTCTGTTTGATTGAACTGGCCAAGATTATGGAGTGCAATAAGAAGAGAGGCCAGATTATATTACCGGTGTTCTATGGCGTGGATGCCTCAGATGTCAGAAAACAAAGTGGAGCGTTTGGTGCAGGTTTTGCAAAACATACGAAGGATAGCAGGGTGAATGAATGGAGACAAGCACTGGTGGATGTAGCCGAAATTGCTGGATGGGGACCAAATAGGTAATCCATTTGTTATTCTAATTGTTAGTAGCATGTTCTTTGTCTTTCGTTTTGTTTACTGGGACTTTGATTTCACATGATCCAAGTTTGGCTCGTGTGGACTAGCTGCATCCTGGGTGTTTTCATGGGTTATTTAGGAGAATAACCCCAAGACATATTTTTTGTTGTTGAAATGCATGACATTCTAACAGATTATGAGGCATTCCTGTGTTAGGAAGAAAGATTCTTCTATTAAGTAGAGGTGTTCTTAAATCTGACAGAAGTTATAATTCTATCAGACAGTTATTCTCCTAAATAACCTGTGTTTTTTCATCATGCTGGGTTCACATGTGTTGTTATAAGTTGAGAATCTGATGATCCGAGGATGTTATCAATGCAGATATGAGGTCAAAATGATTGAAGAAATTATTGAAACAATATCACTTGGACGGCCTTGGAAAACCAAAAATTCAACTGTTTATAGGAACCTAATTGGAATAGAGCCTCGCATGCAATGTGTAAAATCTCTGATGGAAATCGAGTCTGGTACTGGTGTTCGTATGATTGGAATATGGGGGATAGGAGGCGGAGGCAAGACTACTCTTGCCACGGCCATCTATAATGAAGTCAATTGCATGTTTGATGGGCGGTGCAGCTTAGTTGAAAACATCAAGGAGGAACCATTAAACCGTGGTTTGAAGAAACTCCAAGAAAAAGTCCTCAAAGATGTTTTCAAGGAAAGATACTTGAAATTAGGGAGTATTAACGAAGGAAAATGTATGATAGAGGAGAGGATGTGTCGCTTTCGTGTTCTAATTGTTCTGGATGATGTTAATCATGGTAGCCAACTAGAAGCATTAGCAGGATCACACGGCTGGTTTGGTCCAGGGAGCCGGATCATTATAACAACAAGAAATAAGAATTTGCTCGAAGCTCATGGAGTAGATTCAATACATGAAGTCAATTTATTAAAAGATTGGGAGGCTATTCAACTCTTCAATAGGTATGCTTTTCGAAATAAACAACCATCAAAAGTGTTTGAGGAGCTTTCACTAAATGTGGTTCGTTATACCTGTGGGCTTCCATTGGCACTTAAAGTCTTGGGTTCATCATTATGTAACAAAAAGTTTGCGGCTTGGAAAAGTGCGTTGGAAAGACTCAAAGATATGCCTAACAAAGATATCTTCGAAATACTCAAGATAAGCTACGACTGTTTACAACCAGACGAGCAAGAGATGTTCCTAGATATTGCATGCTTTCTTAGAGGTCGTGAGAAAGATGAGGTGTTGGAAATGCTCAATGCTCGTGGATTTCACACTGATATCTTGCTGGATGTTCTAATAGATAACTCCCTTGTACGTGTCTCAAATGGGAACCTTCAAATGCATGACCTTGTACAAGAAATGGGTCACTGGATTGTTCGAAAAGAGCACAACAAACATAGCAGAATTTGGCAAGCTGGAGAACTTCTCAAGATATGTACTGGAGACACACCAATGGTAATCATAACGCTTGTAATTTCTCAATCGTCTGTAAACTTGCATTCCTAATTAATCATATAAGAATTAGGACTTCAGTTAATTATGCCATTTATTGGTTTTCCAGAAGAAGAAAGTAATCAAAGGAATACAAGTAAGGTTTGACGATGAATGCCCAATAGACTTTTCTGATGCTTTCACCGACATGGTTGATCTTCAGTTTCTTGATATCAGCATATTTCCTCTGTGGAAAGATGTACCAGATGTTAAGGAGCCTAACGTTCTTCCAGATAGCTTGCAGTGGCTTTCATGGTCTAATTATCCTGGAAAATCATTGTCACCAGGTTTCAAAGCAAAAAATCTTGCGGGCATATGTGTAACAAGTAGCAAGATTGTTCAACTTTGGGAGGAGGATAAGGTATAAAATATTTCAACCAAATTATCGCACACAGCTATGGTGCATTCATCTGTTTTGTGGGTCTGCTAAACTGAACCATGTTCTGTGTTTTTATTTCCAACAGGTCATTGATAAGCTCAGCAATTTGAAAATGCTTGATCTCTCGGGCTCAAAGTATCTAACCAGTATCAAAAGCTTCAGTTCATTCCCAAATCTTGAAAGACTAAGACTCCAAAAGTGTCGCAGTTTGAAAGTGATTGATCCATCAATTGGGCATCTCAATAAACTTATTTCTTTGGATATGTCATGTTGCTCAGAGCTTAAAGAATTCCCACCCATTGTCCAGATGGCATCCTTGGAGGTACTCATCTTCTCTGGATGCTCGAAACTGAAATCATTTCCAGATATCGTTAATAAATTGGATAGTTTGAAGCATCTTTCTGCACGACACAGTGGGATAGAAAGACTTCCCTTTGAAGTGGCAAGAATCAGTGGCCTTATTTCCATAGATCTAAGTTATTGCAAAAGCCTAAAGAGCCTACCTTTAAGTTTCGACCAGTTAAAACATTTAAGAAGTCTTAATCTCAGTGGTTGCCCAAAACTTGTAAAACTACCTGAGGGCATGACCCATATGGGATGCTTAGAAGTGCTTCTTTTAGATAACACTGGCATTAGCAAATTACCTGTTTTACCTGTGAAGAACCTCAAAACATTATCCTTTAAGCACTAGATCTTAGTTATGCAGGATTATTGGATAGGCTGATCATTGTGTAGAAACTTTCTGTTCGTATGATCGTTTATCGATTATTATGTATGCTGAGGACTGCATAAACACAAGAACTTGCTTTAATCAAATTGCTTTAATCAAATTGCTTTAAATGCACATTCACATTAATCTTAGCAGTGAAGCCTTTCATCAAGATTGAAATAACAACTTTGATACCTGGGAAAAAGTCGAATATATACATATATAGACTTGGGATTGTGAGACCAGCCTGCTTTTGTGAGACACAACCATTTTTTTACACTTGAAACTTCACAATAAAACGCAATGAAGGTAACCTTCACAGTGTTTTTGCTGTGAAGGTTCGGCTTTTTTTTTTACCTTCACAGCATTTTGTTGTGGATTTTCAAGTGTAAAAAAGTGGTCTCACGAGTCTCATGAAAACAGACTGGTATCACGTGACCCCAACTCTCTCTCTCTATATATATGTATATGTATCATATATGTATGTATGTATATATAAACTAGTAGGTAGAGGTTTAATTGAGAAGTCCCAAATTTTTTAAGAAAGACAGAAACAATCTCAATCACTAGTTTAAAATTCCTATTTTTACTTTTTTTTTTCACTAATTAAGATATAGATATGGAAAACATCAAATATCTTAATTTATATTCTATTTTTTCTATAATATTTTTTGGATATTGGAAGTCATTGATTTTTAATTGGTTCATATCTAAACATGTAAATCTTAATCATAAGTTATACATGATTCAATTTAAAATTTATACTACGATTCTGAATCAGTTTAAGATTCATTTGTGGACACGTGAATTCTAAGATAGTATTCACATGTGAATCATAATATTGATTAAGGCATGAAAATTAATTATAATTTGTACGTAATCAATTTACAATTTATAATCGAGATTCTGAATCAGTTTGAAATTCACATGTGAATCCTTAAAAAATATATATTATCATGAGTTTTAAATTAAAGAGACTGAAATTTTCGTTTTTGGTATAATTTATTTAAATAAAATATTGATTACATTTTAGATAATTTCATTTAAAGGAAAATGGATGATATGATTTTTATTTAAAAAGAAATTGGGTATTCTTTTAAGAAAAGGAGTGGATCAGTAATCAATGATTAAATTTGTCAGAAATTTTCTTATATCTAGGAGTGTTTGAGATTGCTTATTTAAAATAATTTATGTTTTTTTGTAAAAGTACTTATCAACTTATATGGTATCAAATCGGAGTTAAATAAAACAGGGTTAAAATTGTAAACTGGTAATAAGTAGTTTTTCATAAGTCATGAATGATTAACTTATCAAAAACAATTTATTACCGGTTTGGCACCGGTATAAGCAGTTTTTTTTTCTTATCCAAACACCAGAAAACAGTTTATCACCGGTGCCAGACTGAAATAAGTTAAAAAACAATTTTTATAAGCAATCCCAAACACCCCTTACATATTTTTTCCTTAAGATAGTGGTCATCAAGAATATATGTCTAATGGTTGAGATTTCTTCTCGCATTTTCAACATTTTTGGACTTCTCATTTGAACCATCGTCTAAACCAGTTATATTATATATAAATTTAAATAATTGAAATTTCATATATTAGTGGCGGGTTTGGTTTGGTTGGGTTGGGTTGGGTTAGGCCTAACCCAATTTCAACCCTCTAAATTGATGCGTTCGATAGCTTGATGTGTTCGATAGCTGGTCGATGTACCTTCAAATTCAAGAAATATATCTGTTTTCCTCAGCTACTTAGGGGTCGTTTACCAAACACTTACCCGGTAAGCGCTTAACAGTAAATTTAACACTATCATTTACTTACCAGATAAGATTTCAGTTCACGAAAACGGTATCGTATGCAACAATTTACCCGGTAAGCACATGGTAAGAGTTGGCGCTTCACTTACCGAGTAAAACTCTTGGTCCTTGTCTCGCTCTTACCAGGTAAGATTTTTTATCCTTCTTATATTCATCGAGTAAGGTAAAATGACTTGGTGTTCACTTACCCGAATAAACATTTGGTAAACGACCCCTTAATGTGTTTCAAATTCAGGAAATATATTTGATCTCAATGTACTCGATAATAGCTACTCGATGTACTTTAAATTTCAATTATAATGATAAGTTAGTAGACCCATTGTCCATAAGCAATAGCAATTCCTCTTACGCAGAGGTCTTCGGAGAATGCACAAGGCAATTATAAAGATCCTTTTGTAACTACAAGGGTACTGCCTGGTTAGTTTGAGCATGGGATCCAAAGGTCAAAAGTGCCTGAAGGTCCTAACTTCAAATCCAAGGAGGAAAAATCCCCTTGTGGCCACAAAGGTTCAAATGTGATGACTTCGAGCTACCCGCAAAGCAGGTGGTCATCATGGGATTAGTCCGTTCGCATAGCGAGTTAGATATACAGGTTAATAAAAAAAATCCATTTGTATCCATGGATTAATTTGAGTTTTTTAGATTCTTTTTTCAAGTATTTATACAAACTCGATATTTTTTTATAACATTTTGATAGTCACTCGATATGTTTAAAAGTTCAAACATATGTTATCTCAATGCATTCGATAACAGTTCAATAGTCACTTGATTTACTTTAAATTCATATTTTTTTTATAACATTTTGAATTCATTATTTAAAAAAATTATAAAAATAATTAAATTATATTTCTTTTAGATTACATTTTTATAAAGAAAGAATAAAATCTATAACAATTAAAAATATTTATAAAATCACATATATAGAAGCATGTTCGTACAAAAATGATACCTATTTAAGAAAATGATCTAATCACATATGATTTTACAGTAACATCACGTAGGAGTGTAAACGAATCAAATCGAATAGCAGATTATTGGAGCTCGACACAAAAAACTAATATCAGGCTCGAGCTCGATTAACTTTTTCAAAGTTAGGCTCATGCTTGAGCTCATATATTTTTTCAATGTTTGAGCTCGAGTTCGATGCTCATTTATGAGCTCAAATTCGAGATTGATTAACTCGTTTATTTATTCAAGTTCGATGCTTTTATATTTTGATTATATAATTTGTAAACATTTAAATATATTTGACTCGAATGAGTGTATGCTCGAATTAAAGTTTAATCAAGTTTTAGAAGAAAAAAATCCAAATTATCAAAATAAAAATTGTTTTTTTACTAATGCAATAAAAAATTAATTTAATAGAAAAGTTTAATTGATGCAATAAAATATAAATATCAATTAAAATTAATTTTTTTATTGCATTAGTAAAAAACAATTTTTATTTTGGTAATTTGGATTTTTTTTTGAAAAAATCTTTAATTTGATATCTGATTTTTTTTTTTGGAAAAAACCGAGATTTGGAATGAAAAATAGATTTTATTTACAATAATTTAAAAAAAACGAATTTTAGTTATTTTTCTATAATTATTTTGCAATCTTAAATATGACATGAAATATTAGTTTTAAAATAAAAAATTAATATGACGTGGTATATCTTAGTTGGCAAAAGATCTGGATAACGTCAGCATTAACAGGTCAACCAAACCTTTAAATAAATAAAAAGTTTGATAGAGACCTCTAACTAATAATTTTGAAAGTTGGTTATCCAAAATAAAAATCATTTGAGAGTTGGTTCCATTTTGATGTAATTTTTTTAACACTAAAACAACTTATCAACTTATTTACATTTTAGTACCTGTAATAACTCAATCCAAACACTTTTATAACTACACAGTTTGATCACTTAAAAAACGCACAAGTTGTTTTAAACAACAATCCCAAACATCGCTGTAGTCAACGAGTAAATATGAAACAGATCAATTCTGGCAGGCGGCAGCCATGGGTTTGAACCTGCTATACGTGTATTTTGAGGATGATCTGTGAGAGGAGGAAGTGAGAGTTTCTTTTACACTGATCAAATGGAGTCGGAATCAGATGCTACTCAACTGTCGTGGAATTACGATGTGTTTTTTAGTTTTAGAAGAAAAGACACCCGTAACAACATTGTTGAAGATCTCTGCAGATCCTTATCCAATCGCGGCATCAATGTTTATGAGGACAATATTGCAGAATTTCATCAGGGTAAAGAGACAATCCTTGCTGCCATGGAAAGGTCCAGGTTTGTGATTGTCGTTATCTCTAAGAATTACTTACGTTCTACTTGGTGTATGAATGAACTTGCCCAGATTATGGCGACTAGGACTGGCAGAAGGCGGATAGTTATACCCGTGCTTTATAATATAAAGCACACGGAAGTATTTTCCCAAGCAGGACCTCTCGGGGCAAGTTTTGATCAGATGCTTCGTCGGTATGAGAGGTGGAGAAAATGGCTTCTTCCACTACAGGAAGCGAGTGGGCTTGCTGGCTGGACAAATATCAGGTAATCAGTTTATTTGGTTATGTAAGTATGACGTTCTTTTACAAAGAAATCAATCGACATTCCAAACCATCAAGTGTAGACAACCTGTTTGTGAAAATGTCAGCTTGTTGCTCCTTAACCGGTAATCAGGATAAGCAATTATTTTTAATCTTCTCAACAATTTATCCCCAAACGGGCATGTGATGGACAGGATTAGAGGTCATTCACTTTGCAAACTGGTAACTTGATAGAGGTTACTGAAAAATGCAGATATGTGAGATGTCTTACACACAAATATGCATGACAGATACAAGGTTTTGAGTTAAATCTTGTGTCCGTGTCAAATTTAAATCAGGTTTTACAGATCACCTTCCCAGCACCAATTTCCTATTAACGAAATTCATCGACAACAAGAATAACATCATTTCTCTATCAAATAAAAAGAGAATGGTCATGAAATTCTGGGGTAATCAAAATTATGGTTATTTTTGGAAACCACTGCCATGAAGCTTCCTATGATTCACCCTAAGGGGGCGCTTGGTTGGTTTTAAGGAATGGAAGCATTCCCATTGCATATTTGCATTGTTGATGCTTGGAGATAAAAAACCATTGAAAATGACCAGACAATTCCACCCTGACAAACAACCCAAAAATCTGCAAAATTGAACAAATTCTTGATTTTCTACAGCAATGGGAGATGTTCCCCACTCACCCTCATCATCACCATCTTCTTCTTCGTTTCAAACCTAAACCATACACCATCTGTTTCACATGTAAATCAAGAAACACAAGAATCAGGAGATGGGATTTCTAGGGTTACAAACGGCAAGGAAGAAATGAGGACGAGGTAAAGAACAGAAAAGATGGAGATAACCACTCACATCTCGATTACCAAATCCTGAATGGTACCAAATAGAGCAGCATAATGATTGCTTGCCGGGCATCATAGTATGCTAGGGAGGTGGGAAGGCAAAAAAGGGAATAAGTTTTTATCCACCTCCCAGGGAGGATTGGTCTATTACCCGAATATACATTAATGATTGATTCCGTAATATAAAACCAATCACTATTAATGATTTCATTCCCCTTCACTACCTAAACCAAACCCCATCAATGATTCCCATTGCCTGCCTTATTATATTCCCATCCAAGCCCCCCCCCCCCCCCCAAAGGACTTCCCTAATCGATACACGACCCACTTGATGGATGGGTGTTTCTGATAAACTTATTTTTTCAGTTCAAAATTTCAAATACAAGATCGGTGGTATGATCTTGTATTTACTTTTCCATACCAAAACCAACAAGACTTCCTTCTTCTGCAACACTATGTCTGAACTTAAATTACATACATCATTCACAATATATGCACAAAGTGACTTTCTTTGTTACCGTTCTGATGGGCAATACCAAACGAACCGAGGCTCAAAACTTTTAAGTGTGTAAAATAACTACATGGTATTGTCTTCATTGTATTATGGACAAAACATTCCCTTGTAGTGCATATACTATCCCAACATGTTATATATGGTATTCAATGTGCAGCTATAGGCAGAAATCGATTGAAGAAATAGTTGATATTATATCACGTGGAGTATCATCCTCACAAGCAAATTATGAGAGCAACCTAATCGGAGTGGAGCCTCACATGCAGCATATTATCAAGGATCTGTTAAAAATTGGGTCTGGTGGTGTTCGTATGATTGGAATATGTGGGGTAGGTGGCATAGGCAAGACCACTCTTGCCATGGCCGTTTACAACGAGATCTCTTGCAAGTTTGGTGGGCGCTGCTGCTTTATCGAAAGCCTCAAGGAGTATTCACGTAAGAATGGTTTGAAGAAACTGCAAGAAAAGATCCTCACAGATGTTTTTAAGGCAAGCAATATGACGTTAATGAGCACCGACGAAGGAAAACGCATGATAAAGGAGAGGATGGGCCGCTTCAGCGTTCTAATTGTTTTGGATGATGTAGATGACAGTAGTCAACTAGCGGCATTAGTAGGAAAGCGTTCCTGGTTTGGCATGGGAAGCCGAATCATTATAACAGCAAGAGACAAGTGTTTGCTTGAGGCCCATGAAGTGGACTCAATACACCAAGTTGACTTGTTAAAAGACGGAGAGGCTGTAGACCTATTTAATAGCTACGCATTTCCAAAGAATAAGACGTTAAAGGAAACCCGTGAAGAGAATGACAAGCTTTCGGTTGACATAGTTCATGCTGCTGGTAGCCTTCCTTTAACACTTAAAGTCTTGGGTTCTTTTCTATGTGACAAAATGGAGTATGCGTGGACAAGTGCACTGGAGGATCTGAAGTTGGCAAGCACAGAAACTTCAAAAAAGCTCAAAATAAGCTATAATGGATTAAGACCAGACGAGAAAGAGATATTTCTAGACATTGCACTCTTTTTTAGAAATCGAAAGAAAGCAGAGGTACTGGAAATACTCTACGCCTGTGGAGACCAGACTTGTGACATTGGGGTAGACGTTTTGATAAAGAAATCCCTTATAAGCGTCTCAGATGGACACTTTCAAGTCCATGACCTGATACAAGAAATGGCTCGTGCCATTAATCTAGAAGAGCTCCCAAAAGAACATGGCAGGATTTGGCAAGCTGAAGAACTGTTAAAGAAAACGGAAGCAACCAAAGTAACAAAAATCAAAGGAATACAAGTGAGGTTTGAGGATGAACGTCCTATAGACTTTTCTGATGCATTCACGAACATGAAGGACCTCAGATTCCTTGATATCAGCATATCCCAGATGTCAAAAGACCGAGCAGATGACAAAGAGCCTAAAGTTCTTCCAAACAATTTGCGGTGGCTTTCTTGGTCGAATTATCCTGGAAAACGTTTGCCACGTGATTTTCAAGCAAAGGAGCTTGTGGTTCTGTTTATGACTTGCAGCAAGATTGTAAGTCTTTCCATGGAACACAAGGTATCCACCTCTTCCTGCTGATGTTATATATTGAGCTTGTAGGTTTGCTTGTTCATTATAATTTGCAGTCTTTGCTAGAAAAGGAACTTAGTAAGTTATAAGCAATGATGAAATTGGACTGTAAAGGTTGACAAATACTTGTCAGCTATTTCATTAGATTCGATTATTTGAAGCTGAAGTACTGCTTAGAAGAAGTCATATGTGTGTTCTCAACAAACAACAGCGTCCTTACATCACATCTTGTTTTGTGGTTTTGTTTTGAACAGCTTTTTGGCCTAACACTGACACTGAAAATGCTTGACCTTTCCGGCTCCAAAGATCTGATCAGCATCCCAAGCTTTGCCACCTTCCCAAATCTTGAAAGATTAATACTGCAAAATTGTCACAATCTGAAACTGGTTGATCCATCAATCGGGAATCTTGGAAGACTTGTTTCATTGGATATGTCTGGCTGTTCAGAGCTTCAAGCATTTCCTCCCATCATCCGGATGACATCCTTGAAGTTTCTTATCTTCTCCGGATGCACCAAACTAACAACATTTCCAGAGATTCAAGGAAATATCGACAGGTTGGAGCATCTTTGGTTACAAAACAGCGGGATACAAAATCTTCCCAACCCAATCGGACAAATCAGCAGCCTCATTTCTATAGATGTACGTGATTGCAAGAGCCTAACAAGTATGTCGTTCGAATTCCATCAATTAATATCTTTAAGAAGCCTTAAGGTTAGTGGTTGCTCAAGACTTGAAAAACTACCAGAGAGCTTGGGTGATCTGCAGTTCATGGAGGAGCTTCTTTTAGATAACACTGGTATCAGAGAGTTGCCTGCCTTCATTTGGAATATGATGAGCCTCAGAACACTCTCCTTTAGGCACATAGACAAAGTCGGTACCTCCAAAATGACTAAAACCAACGGTAAGAAGTTATTGCTAGCCTATTATCAACACCTTATAAATGGAGGGTGTTATGATTCATTTCATGAATGATTGATTTTATAAATAGAGATGTTTGTTTATTCATCAAATCGTTATTCCTACCGTACTTGTAATAATTCGAATCTGTGTTTTAACACATCCATTTTTTACACTTCACAGCAAAATGTTGTGAAGGTTCGGTCTTTTTTTATCTTCACAGCGTCTTACTGTGAAGCTTCAAGTGTAAAAAAGTGGTTTCACGAAAACATATTGGTTTTATGTGATCCTAAGTCTCTCTCTCTCTCTCTATATATATATATATATATATATTATATTATAAAGTATTTGACAAAAACTCTTAAAAACCATTTTTTATGTATGAAGTACTGTATATTGATGTATATTACTTAAAATTCAAGATTACAAGTAAATTGTGTATAATTACAACTTATTAAAGCTCTATGTTTGAATTTGTGTAACTAACTGCGGATAAACATAATCAAATAGAGAATAAACATCTTATTTTAAAATATAAAAAATCTAAAATATAATTAGGAATTTAGGATAATTATTGCGTTGTAACAAAATACTTAATTATTATCTTTATAAAAAATATATATTATTAAACCTAAATTAAGTTAAATTAAATTATAATAAAAAAATCGAATTACAAAAATATACAAACAATAACTTTTAAATAGTTAATTTGATACTAATATTGATATATTTTTTGCAAATTTTATATGATAATTTCAAATTTATATTTTATTCAAAATAAAAACATTATCGCTTTCTCAAAACCATATAAAATCGTTTTTATATCGACATGGATAAAAAATAAAACGAAACATTGAAATAGAAATGTGTCTCGATGCATTGCACGAATATCCTTCTGGTGTATATATGTATATATATATATATATATACAACAAAATTTAGTAAGTAGCTAGATATTACGTAAAATCTGATCAATAATTGGCTAATTAAATACTTTGCATTATTGTTAACCAACCTACCTCTATTTGTCTAATGTGATTTACGTGTTGAAGTTAATGAAAAACGTACTTAAACCATAAATATGGAAGACTTGGACAAGATTTTACAAAATATACTTAAACCATAAATTAATATGTAATAATGTATTTTTCATGCATTATTAAAAGCAAAATAATGGAAGGGGGTTTATTTTAAAAATTAATTAAAATAGCCGTTTTCAAATGTTTTTTTTTTGAAGTATATAATATTTTCATACATTCTTCTCACATTTGGTGAGGTTTGAACTCTTGACCTACTAGAATGCCAAAGACTCACATACCGTTAGGCTAAAGTCCATTTGGTCCAATTTCAAATGTTAGTTTCATCTCTTAATCATTTCTCTTATAAAATCACCAAAATGTCACTAGGGTTCGCAAGTGGGCAGGTCTGCAATTTGTAGAGGGATCAAAGTGTAAAAAAAAGTTTCTAAACCAGATCCTTAAGCGCAGAGACAAATCTATAAATAAGTCCCAACACCTTCACAAAATGCAGGCCTATAACTTGCGACTTGTATCTTTTTTACATATTTGATCCCTGCATTTACGGACCTGGTTCAGGAACTTCTTTTTTTAAACTTTAACACATCCGCAAATTGCAGACTTACCACTTGTGTACCTAGTGATATTTTGGTGATTTTAGAAGAGAAATGGTTAAGCGGTGAAACCACAAGCTGAAAATGGCTATTTTAATTTTCCTGTTTTTATATTATGGAAATTAACGTAAATATCAGTTTTATCCGACTCAATTCACCTTCTAGCCAACCCTTTTTCACACTCACCAAAAAATCATTATCTCCGCAATTGCCCTTGACGCAACTTGCAAAAATGACACTTTTCTAAAATAACTCCAAGTGTCACTTCAATTTTCAAGACAAACTCGTCGCTTGCGGAAGGTTGAAATCCTTTTTGCCACTTTTCACGACAAGCCACGTCTACCCCTGGATCTTCAAGTATGAAAAACAATTTTTTTTTTCCAAATTCGCCCTCCACAATTGATTTTTTTTATTAACCTAGATATCCAACCCGCTATGCGAGCCGACTAATCTCATGACGACCACCTGCTTTATAGATAGCCCGGAGTCACTACATTTGAATCTCCGTGGCCACAAGGGGATCTTTATTTTTCATTGTATTTGAACCTGAGACCTCCCAGTACTTTTGATCTTTGGAGTCAAACTCAAAACAATCAGGCACCATCCTTGTGGTTAATAATTGATTTTTTGATAAATATAAGAGAAAGTTGACTAGGAGGTTAATTAAGTCGAATAAAACGAATATTTACGTTAATTTTCCTTTACATTATTGGATGTATTATTTGATGTATAAAAATTATTTTAATTTTTTTTATTATATACTTTAAATTTTTACAGAATTAATGATTTCTTTCGGGTAACCGGGGAGTATTAATAGCGCGACGGTTGAAAAAGGAAAGACATTTCAATCCACTCGAGATATTTCCAGTTTCGAACTGTAACACCGCCGACGACCGAATTCAGTTTCCCTAAATTGTCTACAGGATTCAAACCATAATCAATCGTAGCGAGCAATCGAATGAGCGGGAGTGAAGGAAGCTCCGGCCACTCCGGGGATGCACCGTCGAAGAGGAAGGACAAAGCGAAAGTCAGCCGGACGTCGCTGATACTCTGGCATGCTCACCAGAACGAGGCTTCCGCAATCAAGAAGCTCTTGGAGGAAGATCGCTCTTTGGTTCATGCTAGGGATTACGATAATCGAACTCCACTTCACGTTGCTTCGCTTCACGGATGGATCGATGTTGCTAAGTGTTTGATTGAGTATGGTGCTGATGTTAATGCTCAAGATCGATGGAAGAACACGGTAACAGAAATTACTTCTATGCTAACTGTTTTACTGGTTAAGTAATTAAGTTTAATTGAGTTGATTATTACTGTGGTTTAGTTGAAATTACTGAACTCATGTTAGGGCTTGAGTTGCCGGTTCAATTCATTGAAATCTTGCTATTGATTCAGTTCGAGTTCGTTATTCATTTAGAACGGTACGCTTATTGTTATGTAATCAGAATCTTCAGCACGATCCCTTTCTGCTCTGCAGGCAAAAATCATAAATACATTAACATAAATAGCTGTATAAACATATATAGTTCGTATCTAACCCAACTGGTATGAGTGAAATGAACTACGGACCAAGTGTTAGTACTCAAAAGTCTTTTGTATTGTATGTCTTGCATGCTTACTGAGACGAGAATGCTTAGTACGCTTCTTTGGTGATGATGAGAGCTATAGTTCTTAAAGGAACAGCGTATATGGGTTTATGTTGCAGCTTTTTTGAAAAGACAACTATGTCAAACCCCTGTGAGGCAGTGGAGCAGGTAAAAGAAAAAAAAATCCCCTCTGATCTCTCTTGTGGTTCCGCCCCTCCCGTCCCTCCCAAGTCCTACCCACAGGCAACAGCTCATTGCCCCCAGCAGCCATCCCCACTCCTCGATGACCCTGGTAATAGGCGAAAATGTTTGATGTATGCGGTGTGCCCCTGGCCCTGGTCACCGGAGTTTCTGTATCTGGCTATCTGCCACTGGTTGCACTATGTTCTTCAAATATTGCTCTGAACGTGAGTGCACGTGAACAGAAATTTTGTAGAGATCTAAATGATATATGAAGTGAAAATTGGCTTCATTGACACTGCCTGTACTCTGTCACTGTGACATGAATAAGAATAGTTAGGAAAGGAATACAATTCTTATGGTTGAGCAATTAAGCACGTGATATCATGTACTTGCTGGGAAAAAAGAGAAGACAAGGACAATTATCCAAGGATACTGGCGATATCCACACTTAGTAGAATATCAGCACCGAAAAACGTGACAATCATAACATTTAATGAACATATCTGATTCTTCCTCTTATACATGTACACTTTGGTGTCATTGTGTTCTTAGTCTTTTTTCCGTGTCAAAGCAAACATACTGGTTAAAGGCAGCGGAAAGACTGTTTCTCTTTTCCCTTATGCTTCTAGCTTCTAACCAATTGATGCTTACTTTATTTAGCTTACATTGCAAACCCACAGCTTTCTAATTTTGTCAACTTACCATAATACTCTTTTCTCAAGTTGATACTGCTCATTACAGCCTCTAGCTGATGCGGAAGGAGCTAAAAAACATAATATGATTGCGCTATTGAAGTCGTATGATGGCATGTCATTTGTAAGTTTAATACCTAGTCTCTAATGTTTGGTATATATCCTTTAAATTTTGAGTTATGGCGTAATTGTTTGAAGCATGTTATGGATCATATGTTTACATCAGTATAATTCCTACTGTCCTCTATAGAGTATTAATTCAATAGTCATTATCTTTCAAGATTTTATATATCAGAATCTTTTTTTGTAAACCAGGATCCGTAAATACTAAGAAGACAATCCAAAAGGAAACACAAATAGTAGATGCCAAGAATATGGAAGTGTCCAAAAGTTGACTTTATTGAGCTTTTATACTCCATAAATCCATATGGACTTGAAGTTTTCTCAATTTTGTCAGCACTTGTTACGAGATATTTGTGACATTGATTTGGTGCACAACTTTTCTCTATTTTGTCTTATTAAGCATCATTTTGGATATTTGATCATTTATGGAAGTACATGCCATGTCAAATGTTGCATATATTTTTGGATGGAGGAATGATATCTTTTGTATAATACGGAAAACATATGACCTTTGATTGTAAGGCATTATGAGGATGATCCTCGTTTTCCCTTGACACAACTGAATTAGCATTCAATAATTGGAGGGATTGCTTTTTTGTAGATGTCTAACTATCTTAAGCATTTTCCTTATCTCGTTTTATCTCCAATCTGGAATGCCGTACCATTTCATGATAGTGTATGGCTCGTTGTCTCTCTTCTCTGGGTTTGATAGACCTCCATCTTAAAATTCTTTGTCTTGCTGCCTACTTCTACTTCTTGATTTAAAGCCTAAATGAAGAGTGAAAGAATATATAAACATGGTGATGAACTTCTCATGAAGCTTTGAGCAGCAAGCTATTCATGATGTGTTACCAGTGTGAGGGAGATAGCATGAGGCCATAGATTTCAACATAAATTCTAATAATAATTATAAATTTTATGATCGTTTCCACATTATCGAACCAAAGAGAAGTTGTATATCTGCAAACTTGACTGTTCTTTTGCTCCATCCTAATGTAGATATATAATCATGGAAGTCATATGCACTTATGCTTTTTCACTTTTTGTTCTTATGCTTTTATTGGCATCAAAATTTTGACTTTTTTTTGTGCAGGGCCAGAATGGAAGCCATTCTGAACCAAGGCCTGTGCTCCCCCCTCTTCCAAATAAGTGTGACTGGGAAATTGACCCTGTGGAGTTGGACTTCACAAGCTCACACATTGTAGGCAAGGTATGGCTTTGTTGCTGAAAGATTATTAATTATGTTATACTAGGATATGTCGTAGCATGCATCTATAATTGTGTCAATGACTGAATTAAGTGAAAGACATATAATGAGTGGTTATTTGCTAACCGTCATTAAATATATAAAAGACTATATCATAGTCGAGTTGAATGCTAAGAACAATTCTCCTAATTATACATTGTCCATTGTCATGAAAACACTTTAGCGTATATGACTTCGACATGTGTCAAACCTCGTGTTATGGTATTTGGAAAAAGTTAAACTAGCCATATCACCTGATATTGGCAGGGTTCGATACTCATAGGAGGTAAAAAGTGGTATGTCCCATGGAGGGACATCCTTTTGTGGTCCCTCACAACCTCTTCCCTGACTAGTTGTCTAGTTGTCATGTAACTGTAATATATGCATCAACATTAAAAAAGGCTTAAAGTTTTCCATGTTCATGATCAATCTGGGAATTGTACTGTCAGACACTTCTGTGTTAGCTCCTTCAAGCAAAAGCTACATGACATGGGTCTTTATTATATGCACAGTAATACTAGTTTTATTGAAGAAATAATTTTGGACATGAATAAGAGAAGAATACGTCTTTGTGGTTGGTTAGCTTAAACTGCGTATCTATTTAGATACAATGTTACAGTGTTGCAAGTAATTTTAGTGCCTATCAGGAGTAGTTGGATGCAAGAATCAAAGATCCCTATTTTGTGTGTGTTATCATTCTCCCACAGCATTGGTGATCCCATTTTTATGAGTCGGAGTATTAAATTTTATTTGTTCTTAATATTTAGAAAACTGACTATCCAAGTTTCTTTATATGACATCTGTTCTCCTTTCGGGTGGCAATGATTATGCTCCCTAGATCAAATATACCTAATATCTTTTTTTTTTTGATTAACCTGGATATCCAACCCGCTCATCCGAGTCGACTAATCCCAGGGCGACCACCTGCTTTGCAGATAGCCCGGAGTCACCGCATTTGAACCTCCATGGCCACAAGGGGATTTTTATTTCTCCTTGGATTTGAATCTGGGACCTCCTGGTACTTTTGACCTTTGGAGCCAAGCTCAAACCAATTTGGCACCACCCTTGTGGTTACCTAATATCTTTTTCATGCCTTCTGACTTGCAATCATGTCTTCACTTGAATAAATATGGGTGTGTGCTTATTCTTGAGGAAGATAATTGCTTTTAGAATGTCAAAAACATATTGTGATCCTTTCCTATTTTTAGATAAGATATCTTGCTAGGTATAATAATCGTTCAGTTAGTCGTTCATAGTAGTTATCATATATCAGAAGGGGCCCTGGAAGACAAAGATAATCTTGTCCATGTGCATGTTAAGGGTTCATATGTGAATTCAAGTTACCATATGTCAGAACGGCTTCAACTTGTCAGCTTTAGATGTGAATGTAACTTCCTAACTATGTGAGTATTGAAAAGGTAAGAATACGATTAATGTTTTGGGTTTCTTTTGTGATTTTTGGTTAGAAGTACAACCATACTAAATGGATACTATGTTTTCTTCTGTAAAGTCGATATCATTGGATAACAATTATTGCTATTCATAGGGGTCCTTTGGCGAGATTGCAAAAGCCTCTTGGCGTGGAACACCTGTAGCTGTGAAGCGCATACTTCCAAGTCTCTCAGATGACAGATTTGTGGTGTGAGTAACATTAAGTTTATCTCATTTAGTTTTGAGATGTGATACTGCCCTGTTATTTTCTGAAGTTTTTGTATCCAAAATATACAAGCTGTGAACTGTTTAATTTTTTAAAGGATAATTTGCTAAATTCTTATCTTATTAAACTTGGGATCTGGTTATTTGGTACCATCAAGTGAATCACGCTTTTAGTCATATACTTCGAAATAATCTTCACCCCCTGTCATCTGATGAATTGCTGTACCTTGCCTTATCAATCCAGTCAGGACTTTAGGCACGAGGTGAATTTGCTGGTCAAACTTCGCCACCCTAATATAGTGCAATTTCTTGGAGCTGTTACCGAAAAGAAACCGTTAATGCTGGTCACCGAGTTTTTACGAGGGGTAAAACTGCACAACTTTTAGTTAACATAGAGATGGAAAATCAGTCTTATATGAACATTGATCCTTTGGTGCAGGGTGATCTTCATCAGTGCTTGAAGGAGAAGGGTGCTCTTAGTCCAACAATGGCTATAAACTTTGCTTTAGACATTGCCAGGTACTTCTTATATTGTTATAGAAATATATATCTTCTGTCACATTCGTCCTTGCTATCAATTTTATGAAGTTAATTATTAATGAGAATGCTCATGGTGATGCTACTTACTGAAAATGCGTTTTTGGTAAGCCAAATTACTAGACTTGAGATGCATTTTGTCAGAAATCAAGGAGTTATCCAGGTTTTAACAAGAAAGAAAGAAGGAACTTAACTGACACAGTGAGACTATTCTTTTATCCAACTGAAAACATGCAACAAGAGTAATTCTTCTCTGTACAACTGAAATTGAATCAGATTAGCTTCACCAATTACTCTAACCAAAGTTACTTTAAGAGGCAAACCTTGAGATTCTATTCAGATTTTTTGATTAGTTATAACCATTGGCCCTGATTTTTCCAGCTAGTCTCTTTTTCATTTAAAAAGTTGTGGACATGGTAATCTGTAAGCTAATCTAGGAGAAGCTTCTTGAGTAATCTGTAAGCTAATCTAGGAGATGCTTCTTGAGTTTTCCATCCTGATTTTTATAACCGTGGCATAGGTTTCTCCAGTTATCTATTTCTAGCTAATCTCTTCTTTCTTTGAAAAGACCGTGGATAAAAACTAACCTATAAGCAAAATAGCTTGTTAAATAAATTTGTATTTGCTAAGCTTTATTGGATACAGTGGAAAAAACAGATGATTGCTTTTCTATATAAAGAGTACATTGTAGAGCTTGTTTATGCATGTTGCCTGCCATAAGGCAGTCGTTTGCCCTCCTATGTCTGTGTTTTGCATCATTTTAGTAAAGCTAACAAATCACACACTTTAGAACTTTGTTCCACATGGTTGTCCTTGTAATGCTCTTAATATTGAGGGCCATCCGAACTGGCAAATAAAGGCTAGGCCTTGGCTTCCTCCCCATAAGTCGCCGGTTCGGTTCTCCTCAGGGCCACTGAGGATTAGTTGAGGGGGCGTACACCTACTGCTACCAATCCCCCCCCCCCCAAAAACTCCCTTCAAAGTTGCAAATGTAGGNATCCGAACTGGCAAATAAAGGCTAGGCCTTGGCTTCCTCCCCATAAGTCGCCGGTTCGGTTCTCCTCAGGGCCACTGAGGATTAGTTGAGGGGGCACACACACACACACCCTCTTCCCCCTGGCCCCAAAAACTCCCTTCAAAGTTGCAAATGTAGGTAATTTGAGTTTCTTAATATTCTGTGTTTGCAGAGGCATGGCATATCTTCACACTGAGCCGAATGTTGTAGTCCATAGAGACTTAAAACCAAGGTTCGTTTATTTGCCACATTCAGTTTGTACTTATATGTTTTGTACTTGGTTATGGGATTTTCAGTTTGTATGGTTTGACATTTCATTTCATCTTTCCTGGTAATATCAATGGCAACTTGTACTTCTCAGGAATGTTCTTTTAGTGAACTCCAATGCAGACCATCTCAAAGTCGGAGACTTTGGACTAAGCAAACTTATCAGGGTTAAAAATTCTCATGATGTCTACAAAATGACCGGCGAGACTGGGAGTTGTATGCTTTTGTCCTTAAAACACTTTCCCTATTGAATATGGTAGTTCGTAAAATTAGTCACTATTATATTCTCTCATCTTTTCATGAAATACAACCAAAGATCGTTATATGGCTCCTGAAGTCTTCAAGCACCGTAAATATGACAAGACAGTCGACGTGTTCTCTTTTGCAATGATATTGTACCAGGTAATTCCTGTTTCGATAAAATTCGTAACAAAGAATATAAAGCAAACAATGGATCTTAGATTGTTATGTTTTGAACTTCATCACAGATGCTTGAAGGAGACCCACCACTATCAAATTTTGAACCTTATGAAGCAGCAAAGCATGCAGCAGAAGGCCTTAGGCCTAATTTTCGAGCCAAAAGTTACAGTCCTGAGCTAAGAGAGTATGCTGATTCTACTTGCTTAACCTGATTTCAGTTCCTGAATTGCATCATATGGTTCTACATGCTAACTTTGTTTCATGATTTTACAGATTGACGGAGCACTGCTGGGATGCAGATATGAACAAAAGACCATCATTCTTGGAGATATTGAAGAGACTTGAAAAAATCAAAGAAAGGATGGCAGATCACCATTGGCACCCCTTTTAATGAACAAACATCATCCGCCAGTTACCAAATTCGTATCCTGTTGTGAATGTATTCATGTGGCCAAAATCACACCACAGGTCCTCTCTCTCTCTCTCTTTTCTCTTCCAATGAGTTTTCACTTCTCTCTATGACACCTCTTTCTTTATAAATGCTAAATTATTGACTTTTTTTCTTGAAAAAAATATGTTTGATGATTTTCTTGCTAAAAGATTTGTTTGATTATTTATTGGTATGTCATGCAACCCTTTGAAATATTGGTGTAATTGTTCCTTGCTGGTTAGTAACGAAAACGGTTTCTTTGAGACAAAAACCACAAGACTCGCAAGGCCAATGAGTTCTTTTTGCTGGTATAAAAATGTTAATACACACAGGGTATGTTTGGTATGATTGAACAGGACAAAACTAGATGCCGAGAGTGAGGTAGACGAATGAAAGAATTGTGCAAGGTTTTAGGGATTTGATCGGGTAGTTTAGAAATTTAGCAATCTTGTCTTTAGCCCATGTATCTATCCAGCCTACCAAACACAGACCTCTAAAATGACTAGTCCTTAGAAGTGAATTACTAAAATAATATGAAGTTTGAGAATACAATATCTGAACATCATCTCAAATGATCTTCTTCTTTTGGAAAAAGGACTTAAGGTGCCATAGCTGCAAGGCTGCCACAGATAAGCAAAGGAAGAGGGAAACCAAACTCAAGTAACCCATTCTGGAGTTCGTATTCCTGTTTATCATCATCATCTCTAAATTCCTGCAACACATATTTCACTTCTATGTCAACCTAATCGTTAGTGTTTTAAGGGGTCTTTCTGACACTAGGAAGTGAAATGTCGAGTTTGGGATAATTTTGATGGACTAACCTGAGTCGAAGCGCAAACATCTCCTCCTGAATAGAAGCAATCGTGTCCGCCAGTTTCTTCAACTCTAATTCCATCGCCTGCAAAAACACAAATCCAAAGCTATTGTAAGAAAATACCCACACCCACTTCCGTCTTCATACCCAAAAACAAAATAGCCATAGAGATGCTTACGTCTACTGAACCTTTCTTGGCGACGTTAGACCATTGTTTTGTAGCCACACCGGACCTCCAATCGAACTCAACGAAGATCTTGTCCTCAGGTTGGTGGTCGATAGCTGAAATGCAAGCCAAATGATTCCCATCTTCCTCAGCTCCAAACGCAAATTGTCCTGATTCTACAACTTCCGCGTAATGAAGCCGATCTCCTTTTGGCGTGTACACCTACACTTGCAAAGCCTCAACATCTCTGTAACTACCACCCAAAACACATCTACAACGCCGCCTCCAAAATCAAAATGAAAAAGAAAAAGATTTTCTTAGAGTTTCTCAAATTTATTTTTGCTCCAACACAAAAACTTTTCTTTTGGAATTATATAATATTTACATATAACAAATGAAACTCACACATAAATTTCATTTTTGGTGAGGTTGGAACCTTGACTAGAGATGACAATAGGGTTGAGGGTATTAGGGACCACAATTTCCATCCCCATCCACAGTTTAATTTTTTTACGTAATGTTTGTATATATTATGTGTATAAATGTAAATTTTAAGCAACATATAATGTTAAAATATCAATCACTCAAATTTTAATCATTGTATATATAAGAATCATTAAAAAACGTATTCAAACATAAATATATCAATTATAATATTTAAAATTTGAAAATTTATATAACCACATCATTTTGTCAACAAAAGTTTTCCATGGACAACCTAATCAATAATGCAAGTCATTTTACAAGTTTTTAGACCGAAAGATTGGTTATATTTATACATTATATATTCATTGGGTTTCTCATTTTATATATACACACACATAGAAATGAATATCTAATATTTGGGGTCAGGGTTGGGGATGAAAGGCATTGGGTCAGGGTTGGGGATGAAAGACATCCCCATCTTTTAGATAAACCGGGTTCCAGTATTAAGTTCCTGTCAGGTGCTGAATTTTTGTCATCCCTACTCTTAACCTTAAGAAAAAGGTCTTATTGGATACCACTAAGCCAAAAAAATTCAAAATGAAGTAGAAGGTGGTGGAAATTCCTTCTAAGTCTCGAAAATCCTCCAAAATTAAATGAAGGAATAGAGAGAATGTTTTTTTTTAATGTTAAACCTAAAACAAGGGCCTACCAATAAAAATAAATGGAGGAAGAGACAAATATTTTTTACATTAATAAAATATTTAAATAATACAATTAATATCAGAATCATAAATAAAAGAGATTGTTAGAGTTGAATATAATATTTTTGCATCATCTTTGTGAAGAAATTATTGGAACTAAATGAAATATTTTTTTTAGAGTTTTGGCTATTTTGAAAAAATTATGAGTAAAATGTTGAGTTGAATGTATTTCTTTTGGTTGACTTTGCTTATGTGTTTTAAGGAATTTATGGAGAAAAGAGTTGGAAAGATAGGGTTAGAGGCAGAATGTAAACATACTTTCCTCTACGACAAAACAATAGGTAGAGAGATTGTTTCTGTAAAAAACAAATGCATATCAGACCTTCAAACAAGTGCTTGAAAGGCGTTTACGATCAGGCAAATGTTTTTGTATCCAAAGTGAAAACACACACTAAATACAAGCTCATTTCATAAAATACAAGTTCCGACATATTTTTCAAAACTTTTTTAAAAATGAAAAAAGTAGAGAAAACAAGAATCTCCAAATTTGAATAACTCTTTAAAATTACATGCTAACAAGAAAAATGCTTTTTCATTGCTCTCACAAATGAATTTGAATACATTAGCATTTAATATTTTAAAGTTTGTTGGAATATTAAAGTTATTAAATAGTTTAACAGTATAATTAATATGAAAATCTTTAAAATAAAAAAAATGTTAAGGAGTTAAATGTAATTTTTATAAGTATTTTAACTTTTACTTCTTTATTTTAAAAAATATAATAAAGAATTTGACTGAGAAATCTTCGGATTTGAAGAACTATTTAAAACGAGAAAAGAGATATATTGTTTTAATTGTTCCCACCAATGAGTTATAATTTTCTTTAAAGTTCTTTTTTTAAATGTATTAAGATCAATGAATTTGTAGAATTTCAACAGTATAATTTGCTAAAATTATTAAAATAGAGTAACTTTTGGAGTTAAATATAATTTCTTTTAAATTTTTTTATTTCAAATACTTTATTAAAAATTATAACATAAATGTTGGAGATATACTTATGCTTGTATATTACCACTACATGTTAATGTGGGAATAGCAAAAGCTTTAGGGAGTGTTTGGCAATTGCTGAATGGTTTGGTGCAAAATGATTAAGAGACTCTCATGATATAATGCAAAATGAAATATAATTATTTGGTAATTGTTTACGATGAAATTAGGGCTCTTAATAGTTAAGGGAGATCCATGATACAAAATCATTCAGATGGTTTTATAACCATTAAGATTCACCTCTTAACGATTCAGAGGTTGCCTCTTAATGGAGGTAAATAAACAACCCCTTACTCTATTAGTGTTGCTAAGTGAATCCATAAATCGAATCAAACAAATACAACATATCATATTCGAAAACATCTCACTTCGTACATACATGTAAAATAGAACAAATAAACATTTTCTACGCGAAAAAGCATCCAACCCAAAAAGCCGCTTCTCAAAAAGAAAAACAATACTATTTTTAAGAATTGTTCAAATAAGAAGACTAAATATCATAAGAAGGTCGAAAAAGAATGTTCATATTGAATCACCGGTAAAATCATTGAAGAAAATCTATTTGAAAATACATATGTTAACCAACGTTAAAGATTATATATGAATTAGTTTTGAGCTTGGACTCCAAACGTCAAAAGTATCTCCAAGTCTCAGATTCAAATCCAAGGGGAAAAAAAATCCCCTTGTGACCACGGAAATTTGAATACGGTGACTCCAAGATAGCCCTGGATTAATCGGCTCGTATAGCATGTTGGATATTAAGGTTAATAAAAAAAAAAGATTATTATAAATGGATTCATATGAGTTGATATATAAGATCTTCCAATGATTTTTTCCATATATGAATTTTCTCTTTTTGACATTCTCTTTCTTACTCTTTTAGAACATCTCCAACAAATACTCAAATACTAGATTTTGTTGTTTGTTTTAACTCCAACAAATAAAACATTTCCCACTGCTATCTTAAGGGGCCGTTTACTAAACACTTATCCGATAAGTGCTTATTGGTTAATTTTTCTTACTGAATGAACATGACAAGATCAAAAATCTTACCGATAAGAGCAATGATAAAGATGAAAAATCTTACTAAGTAAGCGAGGGTGACGACTCTTAACCGGATAAGCACTTACCGGATAAATTGTTGAATACGATACTGTTTGATGCAATACAATCTTACTCAGTAAAATAAATTACTTTGTTGACTCCTAATGTTAAGTAGTTACCCGTAAGCATCTAAGTAAATGACCCCTTATTCATCCAAAATAAATATACATATAATTTTCAATAATAATAAATGAAAACATATTTGAGTATCAATATGGATTTGATATTTTCTCTCATCTCATTTGGTGATTTGAGTTTTTGCAAAAATCGATTCGACTTTCACATAAACCCCAAATCCCAAACAAAAATGGATACAGAACCAAGTCCAAATCACAAATTGAAAATCAAGTATCAGAAATTCAGAATTCGATAACAAAATAGAGATCAAAAGACGTATAGCAAACAGATCCCATGCAAAAAAACAGTAAATAAACAGAAATCATGATTGCTTACGATAGAACAAGCACGAATCGAGGATGAGAAACGTCAAAATCAAACACAAATCGGAAGAAGTTTTTACCGAGACATTGATTTTGTGATGTGGAGGCAACGGATGTCCTTGATTGGGATTAACAATGGAGTAATGACCGACTGTCATAGAATCGATTTTGATATCTTCGCCCATGCATTTGATGTGACCAGATTCGACCTCGAAATGGATGGATTCAGCAACAAATGGTAGGGTTAGAACGAAGACGACGACTCCAAACTCCATGCTTAAGAAAGGTGTTTGAATTTGGGGGAGAGGAGATTGAAATAAGTAAAAACCGGAGTCAATGGCATTTATGTTGCATTTACTATTATACCAAATAATTAAAAGGGGAAAATCATATTTGGGGGTTGGTTGAGATTGCTTATAAAATAACTTATTGACTTATTTCGATATGGTATCGGTAATAAGTACTTTTGAGTGTTTAGATAATATATTTTATTCAAAAATAAAATCATTATTGTTTTTTTAAAAACACATAAAATCGTATTGTAACATCGACAAAGACAAAAAATAAAATAGAACATTTAAGTCGAGATGTGTTTCGCTATATTAAACAAGTATTCTTCTAATGTATTTAAATGCCTATACATTTTAAAACTATGTGTTTTAAAATATACGGTTTTTTAAATGATAGCTTGGAAGACATTTTCAAACTATATTTTCAAAAATTAAAATGATAAATAAACAATAGCTCGTGTTTTTCACTTAAAAAATCACCAAATAATAAATTTTTTTACAACTTATATTTTTCTATAAAAATACTTATCTATACTATCTTATTAAACAAATTTAGCAAAAGTCTTAAAGTCTTAAAATTTTAAATGACCAAAATATCTTTTATACTCACTTTTTCACTTTTTCACCTTTTCACTCCCTCCTCTCCTCACATACACTCACCCTCTCACATACATTTTTTTTAATTATAATTTTATATTTACACTTTATACCCCTATAATTAATTAATTTATTTATTTTACGTCCTTTACTTTTAAATGTTTCATTTTAAACTTTTATCAAATTAACATACATAATCGTATATTAATTAAAACATGTTTAAAAAATACATTTTTATTTTAACAAGTTACACTATTATAATCGTCTCGTTAATACCTTCGAAATGAGTCCAATATTGAATAATTTTTTACTTAATTATATTATTATATATTATATATACTGTGAAAAAATATTTTTAATATTTACGATTTATACTTTTATAGTTATTTATTTATATATATATTATATATTTTGGAGTTAGGCTGTCCAAATTGCACTGTATAATATGTTTTGAATTAATATGTTCTTGAGTTTTTTTGAAATATATATATATATATATATATTAATTCAACATTAATCTAAGTTTCTGGACAAGAAAGAGGTTAAGCAGTTGAAATTTCATTCTAATTTTTTTTTTTTTGTCTTTTCATGGCTTATGATATGTCAAATTTGTAGTTTTTCTTATTGTTTTTGAGTGTTTATCTTAAAACTCAAGTTTTTTGGTTCTTTGCTCTTGGTGTAAATCGAATACATTTGTGGAGTCGTTTAAATATATTGGATTTTAAAATGTCATACAATTTTTGTCATCGATAGTCTGTAATTGGAACCATAACTCTTATTTATTCAAATTGTATTAATATGTAAAGACCAAGTGTAACCTATATCATCGTTAAATTTTATCTTATAAAACCAGTGGAACTTCAAAATCGTTAAAATTCATGGCTTCCGCCGCATTGCACGGGTACACAACTAGTAATAGGTTGATAAGTATTTTTATAGAAAAATATAAGTTGTAAAAAAAATTATTATTTGGTGATTTTTTAAGTGAAAAACACGAGCTATTGTTTATTTATCATTTTAATTTTTGAAAATATAGTTTGAAAATGTCTTCCAAGCTATCATTTAAAAAACCGTATATTTTAAAACACATAGTTTTAAAACACATAGTTTTAAAATGTATAGGCATTTAAATACATTAGAAGAATACTTGTTTAATATAGCGAGACACATCTCGACTTAAATGTTCTATTTTATTTTTTGTCTTTGTCGATGTTACAATACGATTTTATGTGTTTTAAAAAAAAACAATAATGATTTTATTTTTGAATAAAATATATTAAAGATATCATAAAAATTTGAAAAATATATATATATATATATATATATATCAATTTTAATATCAAATCAACTATTTAAAAGTTCTTATTTTTATGTAATTTCTTTAATTTATTTTTTATTTATAATTTAATTCAAGTTTAATAATGAAATAATTTATTTTTGGTTTAATAATATAACATTTTATAAAGATAATAATTAAGTATTCTGTTAGAACTCAATGATTATCCTAATTATATTTTAGATTTTTAATATTTAAAATGAGATGTTTATCATGTATTTAATTATGTTTATCTGCAGTTAGTTACACGAATTCAGATATGAAGCTTTAATAAGTTGTACTTACGCACAATCTACTTGTAATCTTGACTTTTAAGTAACATGCATTAATAAAGAGTACTTTATGCATAAAAAATGGTTTTTAAAAGTTTTGTCAAATATTTTATAATATAGTATAGATATGTTTTAAACTATAGACTCTTAAATATATCTTTTGAATGTATGTTCCAAGTGCAGAGCAAATTTGGGTTTGAGAACTCGAAATTGAAATGGCGTTTAAGAAACCCTTATCTTCAAACTACCGAGATCACCAATTATATTGACAAGTGAAGAAATCTTGTTTGCCAAATCGAGAACTTGAAATTCGACACACATATCTTTTGATCAAAGATAAAGGTGGACCGAGCCAAATGAGCAACAAATCCGACAATCAAACCACTTGATCCATAAAGTAAGTACCAAAAACGCCCCACGAGAGACATGGAAATCATCCAAAGCAGAACACCCCACAAAAGACATGAAAAGGATCCGAAACAAAACCCAAAAGACATATAGGGGCCGTTTACCCAATTGCTTACCCGGTAGACGCTTACCGATAAGAGTCAACACTGTGATTTATTTTGATGCGCAAGATTTTAGTACATCAAAACATATCGAATGCAACAATTCAATGGGTAAGAGTCGTCATCCTCCACTTACCGGGTAAGACTCTCCAATCTCCATCATTCTTGTCGCTCTTACCCGGTAAGATTCTTGGACCTTCCAGCCTAGTGGTAAAGGCTTGGGTATGACATAGTCATGAACCCGAGTTCGAGCCCTGGGAGGGGAGTGTTGGCGACATTTAAGTGGGGCATGTTTAGCCTCCAAATTTGTCGAGGATTAGTCGGGCTTTGGCCCGGACACCCTTACAAAAAAAAGATTCTTGACCTTCTCATGTTCATCTGATATGGAAATTTATCCTGTAAACACTTACCAAGCAAGTGTTTACTAAACGGCCCCTTAATCCAAAATAATTTGTCACATCTTTATGGTTATTTTACATTTTTTTTTGTCTAAATACTCGTGATAGTTTGCCTACATAAATCCGAAGACAACTTGTACCTCGTGAAATAAATAAAAACCAGATAAAAGAAACTAAACGAACCTGATAAATCTCATTCTAAAGAATCCTATTTGGGCTCCCAAAAGATAATGTCACCTTGTTCTCCAACCAAACCAAGATCTCTAAGCCTCCTTTCTTGATAATATTCATATTCATCCAACTCCATTTCCCTCTCTTTAAAGATCCCATCTATATGTTGCAATACCATTTTCTCCCCGGACCGAATGCCGACCGCAATCTCAACCCTCCGATCGAGATCCCCTCCCTTCAACTTCTCGTCCTGCAAACCTACGAATTTATTCAACGACCACAAAAGACATGATCACGAACCAAAACATATAAACTATACGTACCTCTTCAATGGTGGTCCGATAGCTAGAAAGAGCAGACTGGCAGGCACTGCGTACAACTTGACATATGACCTCCTCATTATCGCGGCTAACAGGCAGTTCAAGGTGATCCCAGACTGAGTTTCTAAAAATGGATTCTAGTAGGAAAGCATCGGTGCCACCAAGAGCTACTAGCCTTAAATATGGCAGCATTTTAGGCGGAAGAGGCCGCCCTAAAGTGATGTCAAAATATTGAACGGCTTTTGTGCCATTACTTTCAGCAATATCTAGCTTATCGTCAAAATAAGGGTCTGAATCTGAGATTTGTAGTGTTAAGGTGTACGTATTTCTATCGGGTGTTGATTCTATAAATCCATAATCTAGTGCCAATTCGGCATTGCTTTTGTTCAGATCGTATTGGATCAAGACCTGTCAGCGTTTAAACTTGGATAAGAACTGGAAGCATACTAGTAACAAAAGAACAGAATTAAAAATCAAACCCGACAAATTTTCAGCTTTTAATCTATACCAAAGCTTTACGGTATTAGGAAATTTTGGTAACGCCATTCAACTTCAAAATATATGCTACAAAAGCTAGATGTTATTGACTAGTTTTTCGGCTCACGGCTAGCTTATCAGCCAACAACTAGCTTTTCGCTTAGTTGGCCAAACATAGCAAAATAAACTTTAACCTTGAATGTAATAGGTTTGATTTCAGAAGAGGGATTAAGTTATGACTCACCTGCTGACCAGCCTTAACTGGAATAGGAGTTCTCAAAGAGAATATTTGATCCCTGGAGAATAGGCCAGCCCCTTTGATCTCATATGCATAATCTTCTGTGGTTATACTGGGGCTGTGATTGATCTAAAATCCACTCATATATATCAGAGAAGAAACTGCTATGAAGGCTATATACTCTACGCAACTAAAGGTTCACTGGCCAAAGCGGTATCTTGGTTATGGGTAGATCTCAACTTCCAAAAGTGAATCGGGAGCCAGATGAGAGCGTGTCTCAGGCATTCATGGGATATTCATCATGAATGGTGTATCATTCATCATGAATATTGTAAAAAATTCACGTTAATTTTTCATAATGAATGGAGACAAATGGGAACACGTGTCATGCTCCCTTTTATCTCATGGTTCACAATGGAAGTTAGTTTCACAACTGAACCTGCCTATATATGTGCTCTATGCATGTTTACTTGGAGCTTTGAAGCTCAGAAGGCCATAACAGACCCCCTGGAAGGCTCAAGGACCATTTTCAGAAAGCAATTTGTTAAAACGAACAGTTTTAGAGCTTACCAAGTCTGCCAAGGGAATCAAGACAAGATTTTGACCACGAAGTCGTGAGAACGCCCTCGATCTGAGTATCCCAAAGGCCCAGATGAAATCTTCGAATGTAACGACAAAAGGGAAGAGTCGTTTGTTAGGAAGAATCACTTGCTCTTGGACTTGAAGAAACTCATTCTTCACATATTCTTTGACACTCAGTGTTGTGCTCAATAATTGGGTTCCTGAGAAACCTCATTTAAATTAAGATTTGCAGGCAATTAACGGTGAAGCAAAAAAAATTGTTTGTTCTCCATGCTTGCTGGCAAGAATAACAAACGAAAACACCAACTACAACATAAATGTGTGGTTTGCAAATTGGCCGATCCAAATCCCCTTGTTTGAACCAATGACCTTTGAGAACGATTATAGTGGTATTTTTGCACAAATGATATCAAAATCGGTATCAATGTTTTTGCGATGAATACTATGAACATATAAAGAAATAATATACTAGCAATTCCTATCGAAATTTTGCCACAATTTTTGTTCAAGCTTTCTTAAAATGGTTGATATTTTAGAGATTTATGTGGTTTTTGCCTAATTGCCTCACACTGTCACAAGTAATTCTATGAATCAACAAGAAAGTGAACTAGATGATTCAAACTATATTGAAATCCCATCTCTAGAGTTCAACAAAGGTTTTAACGTAATTTTACTAACCTTCAATCTCACAGAGCTCCTCTTCTGACCTGTTCTGGAAAAGCACCAGAAAATCAGCTCAATTATTAGTTATCATCCCAAAAAACTTCAAATGGAAGAAAAAATCCCCAAAAATTTACAAAATAATTGAAAAAAAACAAGTAGAAGAAGAACAAGGCAGACTCACCAGAAGATTGTGGAATCAGTATACTCAGGAAGAATATCGATGTAATTTCTCCACGGAGAATAATCATTCTCTTCTCTCAGCTTCTCCCTGATCAGAAACAGTGCAACAGAGATCCACGGCTTCAATCCATTACACACCTTACCGATTTCAGATGCTGAGACTGTATCTGGATTAATCCAGAACTTCTTCGGCATCTCCAGAATGACTTCGTTTCGACCTATGTCTCTCTCTGCAACCAATCCTAGACCTTCAGGGACGGTTCCTGGCTTGGCCGGAGACGTGGAGGACACCACCTTTTCGTCGCATAGCCACTTCCAGAATGTGCGGACCTCCGTCGGAAGTGGTGGCGCTGCTGCTGCGTTGCATTTGACTGTTAATTGTTGGTTGTAATGGAGAATTGATTTGGATCTGAGAGGGTTTGGAGATGAGAAAACGGTAGAGAAGAAAGTAGCCATGGCTGCCTTTCTGTTGTGCAAGAAGAGTGTAGTTATTGGTGGTTAAAAACCGATGGCTACTCTATCCTTCCCTTCCTTCCCCCAAGTTATTTATATTTAAAAGAGTTAATTACATTTTTGGTCCCTCATCTATGATGCTTTGACATTGATGATCTATTTTTTGTGTTTCACGTCGAATGTGGTCTCTCCAGTTAACTGAAGTCGGGTTAGTTACCTCATGTGAGGGCAATTTGGTCATTTTACACTCCTTCCTCCCATCTCCTTTCTACCTCTACAAAAACACACACCACCATCACCCATCTCCACTGCCATACAGCCACCGCCAACCACCACCTCCATGGCTCCCAACCACTGCTAAACACATACCTACTGTTAGATTTCTCTATACATCTGAATTTGGATTTTCACAGAACAAATCAAGCCTAAATCTCGGCTTCTGTTAGGACAACCTTGGCGGGGGGGGGGGGGGGGGTTGTTTTAGAGAGGTTTGCCGAAAATCGGGCTAATCATCTTTGTTGAATGAACTCAACGAGACAATCAACTATATTGTTCTTTTACGAACGAAACACATATTATGAACACTTGATTACACAAGATTTGAATACTTAAAAATGGAACTCAAGTAATAGCTATTATTACAAACCACGATGTGGATGATTGTTGGATCGTTCTCACACAGTTACTAGAGTGTGGAAAACACTGGTGTTTTATGCTCGGTATCCCAAACTTCCTGTGATCTTAAAATCAAGAGAAGATGAAGTATTGAGAGAGATTTCCAATCCCTTGACACAAGTTAGAGCTGTTCAGGGGTGGGACAACCCGTTAGACCCAGCCCATTTCGATCCGTTAGAAATACGGGCTTGGACAACCATTGTCGAGAAAATGGACGGGCCCTGTTTGTTCGTTAAAATTAACGGTCAAACATGGATAATGTAAAAATAAATATGGACAGGCCTCTCCAGCCCGTTTATATTTTGTAATTAATATTTTTTATCATTAACTACAACATTAATTAAAATATTTTAATTAATATTTGTAATTAAGTATGTTTTAAAAGTAAACTATTAAAGTTATAGGACGAGACTTTTTGGTTATTCTTGAGAACCCAAAAGGCTAAGAGTTTGTTTGTTTACCTTTTAATGATTTCAATAAGAGATTCAACTCTGAATTTTGTTTTTCATTTTTTTCTCCACTTGTTGAGATCCATGTGTCATTTTAGTTGCTTAAAATTTTAATTGCAACGGTGTTTTTCCTTTACTTTTTGGTTCCATATTTGTTAATTAATTGTTAGAATCAAGTTTATAGATTTATAAGAGTTGCACTTTTTAGGATCGTTAGCCCATGGGCAAGTCCGACCCATTTGTAGGGCGGACAATGGCAAGTTGTCAAGCCCTGAAAAAAAAGGGTTGAGTTTTACAAAAACAAGTTAGGCCCGGCACGGGCCCAGTCCAGGTCTACAAATAAAAAGTACGCGCATGAAGTAAAAAGTAAGCCAAACAATAAAATAGGTTTGTTTGTAACCATTTAAAACAATTATAGAGATGTGGTACACTTGCACCAACAATCTCCCCGTTTTTTATGACGATAAACACAACCGTTAAATACGCGAGCATATTTGGTTTCTATCCCTCTTTTGTTGAAGCAAAAAAGGGTCGTTATGCTCCCCGTCGAGATATGCTCCCTCTCAAAATACGCATACAATTGAGAGTAAGAACATCTCAAGGGTTATACTCAAGCATGACTAACCAAGTCTTAGTTTGAAAAACGTATTTTTGTTTACGGATTTAGTAAAAAATATGGGCCAATTATCTTCAGAATTGACTTTTTCAAGCACGATTTGACGTTTTCGAACGTTATCTCTAAAAAATGATGTCATAGTTCAGTATGTTTGGTTCGAGAATGTAAAATCGGGTTTTTACTTAAGTTTATAGCACTTGACTTCTCACACATAATTGGAACTTTGGTCAAATGTACCTCAAAATCGGTAAGTGTGTGCTTCATCCAAAGTTATTGAGCACACGCTCTCGCGGTGGCTACATGTTCCGCTTCGGTAGTAGACTATGCTACAAATTGTTGTTTCTTGGAGAAACAAAACACAAGGGAAAGACCTATAAAGACACATACTTCAGTAGTGCGCTTTCGATCAACAATTGAGCCACCAAGATCGGAACTGAGAAAGCAAGTTACCTCTAACTTGGGTTTTTTTGGATACATAATCTAAGATTCGTTGTACCTCTCAGATATATAAAAACACGCTTGACGACTTCATAACGAGATGGTTTAGGCGAAGATTGAAACAAGCACATAAACACACACTATACATGATATCTGGTCTACTAGCCGTTAGATAAAGTAGACTACTAATCATTCCACAAATTTTTTTTCATTAAAACTGTTGCCCCCCTCATCATGAGATAATCTCAAATTAATGGTCATCTGAGTTTCAACGGGTTTGACATTTTTGAAATTAATTTTTTTTCAACATGTCTTTTGCAATATTCTGATTGGCTTATAACAGTTCCGTTTTGAATTTGTTTTATTTGCAATCCTAAAAGGAATCTTAATTCCCTCATCATACTCATTTCAAATTTAGTTGTCATTTATGTAGAAAATTCATTGCGAACTTTTTTATTTGTTGAACCAAAAATGATATCTTCAGCCTACACTTGCAATTAAAATATATTATAACCTATCATACCATGCAGATGCAAGTGGAGCTTAAAGTTTATTAACCTGGATATCTAACCCACTATGTGAACCGACTAATCCAAGGCAATCACCTGCTTTGCATATAGCCCGGAGTCACCGCATTTAAACCTCCATGGCTACAAGGGGATTTTTATTTTTCCTTGAAATTAAACCTGAGACCTCCTGGTACTTTTGATCTTTGGAGCCAAGCTCAAACCAATCAGGCACCACCCTTGTGGTTTATAAAGCGCCTTTTTCAATTTATATACGTGTGACGGTTTTTCAAAAATTTCAAAACCGGGAGGTTGAGGAACACATACCTCCTTGTTTACAAAACTGTTTTAACGTCCATTTGATATATTTTAAACTTAGCATTTTCAAAGCTAGAAGCATTCAAATAGAATCCAACCGTATAACTGGTACAAAAGTTTTATCATAATCTATATCTTCTCGTTGATTGTATCCCTTGGCAGTTAAACATGCCTTGTTTGGTGTGACTCCACCGTTCTCGTCTACCTTATTACGAAAGACCCATTTCGTGTCAGTTATGATTTGATCATCAGTTTGGGGTTGGCATGATTCCCAAGACGACAATGTATACTTCTGTAACTTATACGTACACACACATCAAGTAAAACGTTAGACAAACAATATAATACGACTTATTTGTTATCATCAAAACAATTATAGAGATATGTTACACTTGCACCAATAGCTTTGAAATCATTAGAAATCAAAACCCTACATCTGAACCTTTTGATCTGTTGTGTGTTCTTCATGTAAAATGTTCAAAATCAAAACCATCGAGTTCAAAATCAAAACCATTTAAATCAGAATCGTTTGTAAAGAAAAATCATTTTTGAGTTCGTAAATTGACGATGCAAAGAAAATCCCACAATGGAAGTTCAACTAGTGCTACGTAGAGGGGAGGGGGTTCAAGGAGGGTCGTCGATCGAGAGGGTATGGGGGATCAATAAAAAAGATCGCGTTCAAGGGGAAATTTTTTTAAAATATCAGTAATTTTAATATAATTTGTTTTAAACTTTTGAGGAGATAAATTTTTTTAATTAAAGAAAGAAAATAAAACGTCAAAAAAGGTATGCATGGATTGAAATTAAATGCCACTTTTACCCCTAATTACCTTTTAACTAATGATACGCATGCGATACTAAATCAAAGAGGGGTACGACCTAGGTTCGCTTGTACACCACTAGGGCCCCTCATTGTATTATGAGACGTGATAAGAGTGTTCTTTATATGATACCATAATCCCTCACATGTGATTGCAAATCATAGATACAAACAACCTTTGGCACGACCTACACGTCGTCCACACATCACCAATTCCTACATTTTCAGTAAAATATCATAAATCTTGGTGTCACTGTTCTTCCATTTTTGAGTGGTCATATAGTTTAGTTTTTGGCAGTTAATCACACCATTGCTACTGTTTTCAATCCATGATTAAGACTCGATTGCCGATTGTATACACAAATCGAATTACTGAGAATGGCATCAAAATACTGTTTTTTACCACACAAGGATTCACAAGTGAATAATGATAGAGTTAAATGATGCATGTATAATGGCATGTGCAAAGTTCTAAGTTTAGGACTAAATTGGGCACACAGGGATGCTGCTAGTAGTAACAACCCTAAACCCTAAATTTGAGTTATAAGCTGATTCATCCAGTACAGTTATAGAACATAACATATACAACTGGTAAGTACTCTATTGGTATCATCAGTTGGGCTTAATCAAGAGATATGGTAATAAGACAAAAGGTCGAACAGTTAACCAGCAACCATAAAAACCCCCAATCAGATTAAAATGTAAGCATAATTATTTCTCAAATTCAATCATTGATTCTCAGTTTTTCATCATAAATAGTAATACCTCCGCAAAAATGAAGAATCGTCAGTGGTTCTGTTGCTGTTTCTCTGTATCTGAAGCAGCTGCCATGGCTTCTTTCTCCTTATCTAACTGATTAATCGCTTCCTGTTGAGCCGCTTTCTCCGCTTGCAAAATGGGGCCGTAGTAATCGGGATGAGCCTCCATACATTTCTTCAAAGATGAGGTGACCTCAAAACATTTTTCCACAACATCTTCGTTGTTCTTCTCGCCTTCTTCAATGCATTTTTCCCAATCGATGAAATTTTCTCTACACTCACCCCCCTTCATGAACAAGCAAAACCCGCATTCTCCTTCATCTTCGGTTTCTTCGTGTGGTGGAGATGGATCTGTGCGGTCTTGATCTTGGTTTTGGGGTTTATCGGGGTGGGGTGTAGACATGGAGATGGTTTTAGGGTTCTTCTCAGTCGAAACCGAAAGTCTTCCATTGACACGGATTTATTATCTATACTACATATACAAGCATTTAAGACAAAGTCTTAAATACAACTCTTTAAACACAAGTTACAATCATTTTATGCATAATTTTCAAAAAACTCTTAATTACAAATTATTTTGCACAATGTACAAGTCTTTTATGCAAGGATTTCCACAACACCAAATCCTTAAAGGGAATGCTTCAGAGCGTGCTTTTTCTTACAGACTTCTAAAAATCCCTTTTCTGCGTATCTGATCTCAAGCGCCAAAACAAATGTAGATTAGATAGAGTTAGCTTTCTTCTTTCACAGACCTCGAATAGGTAACAATGGTGGTTTTGATGTATCACCTTGATCAGCTTGTAGATCTGATCGAACAGATTTCTTCTCAAACAGTCTTCAAAACCGATTTGATGTATCACAAACTCATCTATACATATAACCCCCTCCTCCCTGATGTTGTTCTTCAAAATAGATTCAAGACTAAATCATTTTTTCACACTCTCCTTCCATCGCTCTCCATCGATTCACTCTCCATCGCTCTCCATCGATTCACTCTCCATCGATTCACTACTGTGTTGATTCACTATCTTTCCGATCCAGGTAATTTATTTTTGTTTCCCTTTTTTGTTGTTGTTTCTTCCTTCTGTGTGTTGATTCCTTTTCACTTCTGTTTCCTCTTTTTGTCTCCTGTGCTTAAAAGGTGTTTGAGGAAATGCCTCAAAGACGTTTATTTTGTTTACATATTTTTTTTGTTTAG